TAACGTGAACACTTTGAAAATGTACTTTAAAACAATATAAAAAAAATTTTTATGAATTGTGTAACAGATCTACAAATAATGTGACGGTTCCCCCTGTTCTGTAGTATAGGTCAAATTTTAGGATCTATATGTACTATATATCAGGGCTAATTTGATGTGATCAAATAGCAGAACCGATTACTTACGTATAATTCTGGTTAAATTTGCAGATAGTTTGACCAAGTTCAGAATTTTTCGACCCTGAATTTGGCAAAATAACTGCAAATTTGACCAGAATTATAAGTTATCGTGCAAGCTCATATGATCATAGCTTTTTTTTGCACTGATATTTTTATGCGCCAATTGTTACACAAGCCAATATTTTACATTTGAACAAATATTGAAGCAATACTCAACACGAATATTCAATAAATCTTTAATATTTATGCATTAAAAAGCTAAGTATATTATTTATTATATATTTTTATTAATATGCTAATTTTAATATTAATAATTATTTTATTTATAGAGACCCAAAGTTAAAAGTGCAATTATGAAATACATTCCTGATAAGGAATTTTTCAAGTGCTTTTTTATTCATTTGTGATTGTTGACTATTATTTGCTTTATTAATTTGAGCTTCCGTTTGTTTTGGGTCTTCTGGTTTGCCCTTCGAATTCGGTTCAATTTTCTTTTGCACATTTCGATCAAGTTCAATTAATGCATTTCGCAGAGATTCTGATAAGTCAGTTGCTAAAAATTCTTCAACCGTATCACATGATAAATAGTGACTTGCTAATGTAAAATTGCCATATATTTTTAGGTTTTTTGGCTTGATTAGTTATCTCACAATGTTCATGAGCTTGTAATTCAGATGATGCAGTATTAGTAACAAGCGATATTGCATCAAAAAAGCCATTTAATCCTTGTTGCTGCAGGACCAACTTGGGACGTTCATACGATGCTAAACCTTGTAGGGTCTTGTGGTGTGTGATGGATATAACGACTGAATCAGAATAACCTAAACCTTTTAATACTTGAATGGCTGTTTTACAGCCTGAGTGATTTGATAAATTTCTATCTCCAATAATTATGTCTGTAGTTTCACAGATCTGACAAAAATAGCTTTTCAATAAATGTTCAGGTAAAGCACGAGTATAATACCACTGTGTGTTAAATTCAACTGTAATAAAAAAAAATTTTTTTTTATTTAAATCATAAATTTTAATTGATACAATTGATATATACAAAATCAAAAATTCGAATAGAATAAACTAATTAAGTAAAAAATCATGTGGACGAAAAACTACTACTTACTAACATCAGGTGTACAGGGTTTTAAATAAAAGTTTGTGACGGCAGTCGTTGGACGTTTCATAAAATAAAGTTCATAATCATCAATAACGGCCTTTATATTAAGCAAACTAATTGTTTCCGCTTGTACTTCAGAATTACTCAAACCTCTTTGATTCATTTTTGACTTAAATAATTTAATATCAATACCACCTTCGAATCTCTTTAAAAAGTTGTTAATCCTAAGATCTTGATGCTCGCCACCACGTAAAGCAAGTAAGATAGAATTATAAAAAAATATGCGATGCAATAAACCTTCAGGAGAGGTATTTTGCATAGTCGGGTGTTTCAGAATCTGATCAACTTTATCAATCGTTAAGCCATCTGCACCATTTCGTTCACCTAGTCTCACCAAAGAAAGAGTTTTTATTTTTCCATTTATGACTGTATTCAAATCATAAAATACTTTTGGATTTAAAATGTCCACTAGTTTTTCTAAAACCGACTTCTCATTGAAATGATGCCAGATCACGGCCATACAGCTCTTAATTGAAGATGCATAGTATTCTTGACCATTCCTACATTTCATTGCACAGACAAACTTGCATAACTGGTCTTCCAAGACTGACTTCGAACTAACATCCTCAATTTTCCCTTCATACCCTATGTCAGCATGAAATTCCTCCAAGACCTTCACCTATACTTGTGTCACTTTATGTATCACTTGAACTTTCGAACTTTCACGGATTATTCGTATATCTTCTGAACTGGGCTCAGTATACTTAAAAGTCTAAGATTTTTTTAATTATATTCAGTTTCAATATGTATTACTATATTTAATTTTCAAAAAGATAAAAAAATTTTTACTTTGTTACTAACACGGGAAGTTCTCTTGTTTGTTTTTGGCATTTTTTTTTTTTTTATTCACAAATCACTAACAGCAACTTTCTTGCAAATAATATGGTAGATATATAAACACCAGCAAAGGATTAACCTCCAGAGGAATTTGAAGCCTTCAAATCGACATATGTATGGATTACCCAAAGATGAATATCAAGAAGACAGAAAACTATCTTTCTTAAGCGACTTGACCTTTAGGAGAAAGATGAAACCTCTGAAAACAACGTATAACTTTATTCAAGGTAGTAAAGAGTGACAAAAAAATTAAATATGAAAGAAAAATCTTTCAAGACTCATTTGAAAATTTTTTTTTTTATCGACCATCTGATCAATTTATACTGTGATGACGTATCAGGGGTGACGATTTTACTGCGCCATGATCATATTTGCATGATAATATTGATATTGGATCATGTGTTAATAAATAACGTGAAATTTGTTCAAACGGGCAAATTTCACGTTATTTGTCACTGCATAACCAATATCTTATACATAAAGAATGAGCTAAAGAATACACCCTATAAAAGAAATACAAGAGGTCTGGTACTATGATTTGAATGAAAACATTACAGAAATAGAATGGTCTGGAATGCCAACAGACTTGAAAAAGAATACAGCACCAGGTATCTCAGGTATAACATATACACTAATTAAAGCAGCTAGTAAATGAGCACAAGAGGTTTTTAGAGATATTGCAAGCATATGCATTAAAATAGGAATGGTCATGAAAAAGTAATTCAGATGATGCAGTATTAGTAACAAGCGATATTGCATCAAAAA